GTTAATTAAAATACCATTCCTTGTTTACTTTGATTAAACTAGATTAAACTATTTAAACTTATGTGTTTTTTCCTTGGCAAGAAAATAGTTTATTGATTAAACTATTTGTCATGTAGTCGCATGTATTTAAGCACTCGATTCACCACTAAGGAATAAATAAATTTATTGGCGAAAAAATGAGATTCCACCTTTGGCAGGGCACCTCGTAAATTTTCGCTGGTTTCGCGTTCGCAAGATTAATTTCTTTTGAAGGCTTCTGGGGAAAAATCCTTGAAATTATGTAGATGGCTGGCTCTGGAGAAAAAACGATGTGAAATGCAAGCCGTGGAAAAATATATGTCCATCGTTGGTGCGGTGGAACAATAAATAAAAAAGGGGAGCCTGCTGAAGCCTCCAGCCGTGAAAAGTTTCGTCCAGAAATTAATGTAATTTAAGAGCCTGCACAGACAAGTTGGACCCCGGCCTCAATTAGGGTCAGGATACAGGCTGTACCCCATGTTCATGTACCCCATCATCTGCCAAATGGCGTTATTTCTACCGAAGCCCTGACCAGAAAATGTTATCAGAATGTTTTGACAACTTCCTTGACACTTTTTGCATTTCACCTGATTGTCGTTGGCGGAAATATATTTTCATTCTATTTTTTTTTCCCCTCCGTCAGCCACAAATGTGTGGTGGAACATTCACTTTTCCCCCTCGAAGTCGTTTCTCAAACTTTCATTCTGCTGCTGCGGCAATATTTGTGTTGGCCCACTCACTTTTTCCCTCTGATTTATGGCAGCTATGACTTTTTTCGGCTTGTGGCCAAACTATTTTGTACGAATGCCATAAACAAGTTTTCAAGATTCCTGCCCCTTTTTATTTTCGGAGAAAGAAATCAAAACGTAATGTTGGCTTAAAGACTGGCAGACTTTTGTTTAAGTATTTAAGCAATGGAACCAATTCAAGTCTTAATTGATGGCTCTTATCTTACTGGTTTTTCATGTGCCATATAACTATTTATTACCTTTAGTTTTTAAATGTGCACTTATCTATTCGAACAAGGCAAATGGCCGTAATTCATAACATAATCGAAGCCTAAAGCTTTTAGCAATAATTTCATATTTATTTGTTTTTAGGCTAATCACAACTTATATTTTATGGTTTTAATTAAAGAAGAAACTAAAATAAACAGGCATTAGCATGAAAGCTTTTGACTTTGCGATACAGTGCGCAACATCCGCATTCACCATCCGCCTACCAATAAGCACTCATGTTGCAGTCCCTACTTTAGCTCATTAGAAACACACACAGGTGGAAGGCCATTCATTAAATGGTGCCCCCCCCCTATAATTTCATGTAAGCAAATATTTCTGCAAAATCCCCAATGGCAAACAGAAATGTGTGGTGGGGTTGGGAATGGGGCTTAAGCCAGCACGGCCGTTGATTCCCCTCCCGTTCATTCGACGGGCTATTTGTTGCAACATTGCCTGCGGCGCAACACTTCCTGTTTGCATAGACACACACACACACACACACACACACACATCACCTCTCTTCGTTTCCCTATCAAATGTCCACCTCCTGGCATCCTGGCTCTTGGGTTCTCTCCCCTTCCAGTTTTTCTAGCCAACACAAAAATGTACATTAGCTCGGCGAGGTTTCTATTTTCAATACAAAAGCCAGACTGGGATATGCCTACATATATGCAAGCTTATTTACACGTACCTACACTCAGAAAAAAGTAAATGCTAAAAGAGCATAGATTCAAAAAAATGCCATTTAAAAATCAATACAAGGCCTAACAATCTTTATTCACTAAGATAATATTTGTATAACGAATTCTCTGATTCGTACAAATGGGAAATGTTATGTTTTCAATTTTTTACCTGAACACTCGTAAATCGCAAAAATAATATTTGCATAACAAAGGCCCTGATTTGTATTGTAAAATCATTTTTTTTTTAGCAGGAAGTGGGTTTTTAATAATCAAAACAATTTTGTTTTCTTTTACAAATGGGAAATGTTATGTTTTCTATTTTTTAGGCTTTGTTATAATGGAGAACAGTTTAACATTAAAATGTAACTATTTTTAAAGAGCCTTTACCGGGAATAGTTAGCTTTTTGTGGAGGTAACAACTGATTATAACATCTTTCTGAGTGTAGCATTTATTTTAGCAAATGGTGGCTTAGTGTGTGTTTATGCTAAAAAGACAAGAGAAAGTTAAGTGCCATGATAAGCAAAGGAGTGAAACTGGGATTTATAATTTGAGAATTTTGTTGGTTTTATTTGGTATGCGTTAATAGATATGTTTGCGAACATTGGATAATAGTGTGTTATTGATGGTAAGTTCAAGTTATGGCACATAAAATCCGCCTTTCTCCTGTCATTCTCAGATCTGTGTGCTCTGGTGACGCCTTAATTATCCTTTGAGACCGCATCGATTTATTCTTGGCAAACACATGGATTAATTGCCAACGACTCTTACATATATCAAGTAGGATATGAAATATTCCCATTCCTATTCCCTCCATTCGGCTGCGTAAAAGTTATGTAATAATACAATTAAGCATTTTCATGCTGAACGCTGCTGCGTTTGATTAACAGAAATTCCAAGTCAGCCAAGTGTAAGTATTTCAAGAGGGAGGTTTGCCTAAAGTACTCTTCACCAGTGCGCCAGATGAAAGTGGCATTGTGAAGAGAATGCAATTTAATTAAAACGAACGAAATTTCTTTTCGTTTTCGCTTATTTTAGTGGAGCAGAAAAGCGGATGCCTACAAGGAAAATACAGCGAATTTCTAAGGCTACATGTGCTTGGCAAGTTGTTTGCAAGAGTTGCTGATTATTTTGAACTAAAAAGAAAAATACTTTGATCTTATGGGAATTCCACTCAAATATTATAAGGATACTTTTCAAAGAATTGGAGCAGAGATTTAGTTAAGAAGTAAGCTAGGTAGCAGGGAATGAAAAGGAAGTCTTTAAAAACAAATTTCAATAGCTGTATATTTGGGGTATTAAAGAACGTGACAGAGAAGCAAACTCAGCCACGTTTTTGTAATTAAATTAGCATTAATGTTATATTCCTGCTCTCTTCTTGACATCGCGTATACGACATGTTGACCGCAACGTGTGTGTGTGTGTGTGTTTATTAGTCTGCCGACCACTTGAGGGAATTTATGATGCAGCTTAAGCACACAACAACTCGACTATTGAGCCATTCCCACAGTTCGTACTTCGCACTCCCCGTTAAATGCTGCCACGATCTCTCTGCTCAAAGCCATTAAATTTTCAATTTCCATTTCAATTGCAACTTTGTTGGGTAATTCATTCTCGGCTTTATGACCTGCAACGTGCTGCGTGTCCTTAATTGCCGCTACAAAAAACTATAGTCAAATTTCTCATTTTTCTTTTCTGGCTACCAAGTGGGCTATAAATAAACAGCCAGCGCTGAAACCCATCAAAACGGCTTTAACTAAATGTTCAACAAAACTTTATTCCCCTCTCTTTTTTGTTCCTCTGTCATTTTTTCCTTTATTTTATGCCATCACACAGCAGAGTCTTAAAGTGATGGAAGCAAAAAGTTTTCACACAAGTTTAACGAAGTTTTCACACACAATGCGGGGTTTAAAATCAATGTAACAAAGAGCAAAAACATAAGTTGAGTCAGCACTTGCGTTTTATGGTTAAAAAATCATGAATGCTCTTTTTAACATTGACATAAATTGTAATTATTTACTTTTGTGCTTTACAACTGGCATAATTTTATTGAAGAGGTACCAAATTTTATAAATTAAGAGCGGGAAACAAGTGCACTTTCATCAAGATATTTTATTATCCCAAGAAAAGAGCATTCATTTTCCGAAATATTAAAACATTTTAAATATATAATATTAAAGACAGATAAGGCAGATTGTAATTATAAGAAAATTTAAGGCGTATAAGGTTAAAATTCAATCACCAAGATATTTTCGATTGCCTACATTTAAGATAATAATAAGTTCAACAATTTCAATTTCAAAAATTTAATTATTTTATTTTGACTTAAAGGTTGTATGTAATTACAAGAAAATTGAAGGCGTATAACATATAAATTGAAAATATTTACAAACTAGTAATAGGGTTTATTTGGCTGATTTTGTATTGGATCAAATAAAGCGAAGGGTTTTGGGCTTGGTGGCAATGTCGGAAGTTCGGGTTAGGCCAAAAACACAGACTTGTGGCCGGAAGTGTGCACGCTGGCATCTGTGTTGGTGTGTGCTCCGTATAGTTCGTACAAGGAGGATGATGGTGTAAGTGCTTTTCCAAGCAAATTGCCAATGTAAATGTTGCAGCAACCAGCGGCAGTGGCAGTGGCAACAACTAAATGCGGCCCCCATAGCAGCTGTGTAAACAACGGCAACAAGAACAACAAACCCGAGCGCCAGGAGTAAAGTATTTGCTGATGACGTCAAAAGGCATGCTTACACTCACACACACCACCCAATTTTAGCACCACTTTCCCCCAGTTTTCCACAGTTTTGCACACTTTTCCCCACTTTCCCCACCAAGCAGACAACTCAACTAACTGCAACTCAATTCTGCAGCGGAAAAGCAACGCAACCAAAATGGCCACAACGGCGCTTCCTGGTCGCCGTTTTGCGTTTTGGGTTTTGCTGAGGCACGCGCTATTTGATTTGATTTTATTTGCCCGCCTACTCCTGCAAAGGACGTTAATGCTCGTCGGCGAAAATGCTCGTCTGCAGCGAAAGGATAATGATGTGGAAATAGTTTACCCCTTAGGCACTTGTCGGGAAATGGGAGGAATTTGCTTAAACGTTTTCTATAATTTCACAAATATTTTATAAAAGAAATTGCATTTAAACTTAACCGAATTCAGCAATCTCTCTGCTTATTCTGTATTTAGAATAATATAATGATTTTTTCTAGTGTCCATTGGTATGTTGTAATATATTTCATTACATTTAAGGGAATTATAATTTACAGTTGTAACAATAAAACGCAGCTATTAATGTAATATACATGTATCTGCAGTGCAAAAAAAGTTCAAAGCCTCGGGTAAAAATGCTATAAATTTAAATGCCTCTAGTTTGATATGCAGCGAATTTTTAATGAACATCTTTGCATTGAAACAGCCTTCGTGGCTCTCCTTTTACTCATTTTTTTTCCTATCTTTTCCTGCTTCTTTTTTATACCTCATAAGATGAGAACGTCTGTGCTGGCGCTGCAGAAAATTAGTTTTTCCAAGAAAAACGCTTTTTGAGCGTTCAGTGGAGCACATTTTTCTGCCTTTACCTTTCACCAGCCCGGCCAGGCCTGTAGCCATTTCTTAATACAGGGGTGCAAACACGGTTTTTTTCTAAAATCATTTTAAAATTTGAAGCCAGACAGTTTTGGGCATTTGTCAGAATTGTTTTTTAATATTTAATGAGCTAGCTAGAAAGCTTGATTAAAATCAAAAAAAAAAATATAATAAATGCAAACACAACGATTTCCAAGCTTGATAAATAAATTTAAATTACAAATGGCTTAAAATTTAAAATTGCTTAACACAAATGTGTGCTGAAAATAATCTAGATTTTATTAATTAAATTGTAAGCCATAAACAATATTTAGAATGTACTTTCTTGATTTTGTAATTAAACAAAAAACATTGTTTTCTTAATAAGAAGCTTATATTACCAGCCATTCCGAGCTTGAGTGTTTGCCCCTCAGATTGTGCCACGCGGCGTATGCTTAACGCCCGCCTAATTAGTACATTATGCACCTCGCATGTGAAAAGCAGTCGACTCAACTCAATGCCTCTATGCCTTGCTCCACTTACAGGCTCAGACGTCTTGCCACTTTCAACTGCAACAGGAGCAGAAGCCACAAAGGACACAAAGGACAAAAGCAATAGCAACAGCAACAGCAATAGCAACAGCAACAGCAACAACAGCAACTACAGGCAGCGACGCGAACAAAAGCCAAGCGTGATTGTGGTAGACGCGCGTCGGAGTTGTAGAGCAACGCCTTCACATTGGATTACGCGCAGTTTTACTTTAGAGCGGTGCCAATTAGTGGCCAACAGCAGCAACAACAGCAGCAGCAACAGCACCAGCAGCTCGTGCAGCAGCAATTGCTAGCCCAGCAGCAGCAGCAACTGCAGATCCAGCAGCTGCAGCAACAATTGCTGCTGCAGCGACTCGAGCGTGAGTTGCAGCAGAACTACTCGTGTCTGCGGCAACGTTGGCTCACCGACTACGCAGCCCCCCACCAGCAGCAGCAGCATCTGGTCCAGCAGCAGCAGCTCTTCGCGGCCCAGCAGCTGCAACTGCAACACCAGCAGCACCAGCAACTGCAACACCAGCACCAGCAGCAGCAACAACAGCAGCAGCAACAGCAACAGTATAGCTACTACTTCAGTCGCGGCAGCACCAACACCGATCTGGGTCTCGGACTGGGCCTGGGCTTCGGTCTGGGCAGCGGCAATCTAGCCAGGTAAACTCGCAATCACTTCATGTCGAGGCCTGAAATTTTTCAAATTTTATCAACATCATCTTAGCCCTGAATTACGCTTTATTACTTTTATTTAAAAAGCTAATAATATATTTATGGCATTTTATTATATTAGATTCATTTTGTTTAGCTTTTCAAATACTTAAATAAACTCTTAATATGATTTGCTAATATATATGCAAATTAAATACAATAGTTATTGCTTGTACAATTGTCTATAAAAAGTACGTTTTCTTTAGTTCTTAACTCCCAAAAACGCTGCCATAAACATACTTAATCACCTTAAAGCACACATGGTCCAAATTGACATGAACGTTTTATGGTCTTACTCTCATAAGCTGAAACTATGCGCTTTGGTGCATTAAAAGCATTCCAGAAATTTTTTGTTTGCAAAAAAGCGTTGAAGGGCTTTACATTTTATTACTCATACGTAATGTGTTGCCTTTGATATAATAAGTGACCTAACGGGTCGTATGAGTATTTTTAACGGAAGCACTTAACCTATTCGTAAATATTTATATATAAAATCATATTGCACTAAATAGAGGAGCCAAATTAAAAATGTATTATTAATTTAATTGTTACTCAAAAACACAGAAATTGTATTATGTTATTCTTACTTTTTAGCTGGTACCATCTGCCCTCCACGTCGGCGCACATCTATATTGGAACGACCAGCAGCGGCGGTGCAGCGGGCAGCACTCCCTATCCCCCGTATCCGTACCGCAGCGTGGGCGGCTATTCCGGCGGCGGTTATCCGGCGGCGGCGCTGATCAACTTCGATGCCTCGCCCACGCCGTTGTTAGCGTCAGCGGGAAGTTCACCGGGCTATCTGCCACCGTTGGCCATTCCGGCCGCCCTACCGCCACCACCGCCGGCGCCGAGTGTAGCCACCGACTATTACTTCAGCAGTCGCAGCACCCGGACCGTTCCGCCCCCCATACCGCCCACTCCGGCGGCCGTTGCAGCAGCGGCATCGACAGCAGCTGTCTCCACCTCGCCGTTCCGGGAGTACGGCGGAAGTGCGGCGGAGGAGCTGCAAGCTGGCGGCTATCGCTACAAGGCCACGCCCCGCAGGCGGTACGACGCCTACGACAACTACGGCTATCTGCCGGGCTTCGCCAGCACCACTGAGGACGAGGAGGACCTGCTCGAGGAGTGCCTGCCGCAGGCCCTGCTCTCCACGGACTGCTCGAGTCTCGAGGAACTGCGCTTCTTCCACTTGCAGGAGGAGGAGGACGAGGACGAGGAGGACGACGAGGAGGTGGCCACGCAGCTGGCGCACATCCTTGACCTGCCGGACTTTCTGCATCCCTACGGCAGCAGCGGCCGGGACAGCCTGCACAGCCACAAGACGCCGCCGCAACACGAGTACCAAACGGAGCACGGCTCAGCCGCAGCGGGAGGAGCAGCAGGATCAGCGGGCTCGGCAGGATCGGCAGCGGGTAGGAGTGTCCACGAGGATCAGCGCTATCAGCCCTACCAATACCAACAGCAGCAGCAGCAGCAGCAGCATCATCAGCAACAGCAACATCAGCAACACCAGCAGCACCAGCAACACCAGCGACAGCAGCAGCAGCAACATCAGTCGCACTACCCACAGCAACACCAGCAATTCCAGCCGACGCAGCAGCAACTGCAGCAGCAGTCCTACCACTCCTACCAATACCCTTCGCAGGACAGCTGCGAGGGCTTCAACCAGTTCGCCACCAACGCCAGCAGTTGCCTGGGCAACCAGAGAATGATGGTTAGCAAATTGTGGAACAGCTGCTTCCCGGAGTTCACCCCGGACCATGTGCATCGCCACAACTTTTACCTGTGCCAGGTGAGCTCTATCAAATACATTATTTAAACTGCGTAGGTGTGTGATTCAATATATAGGAGAATTATAATAAGAGAAGACAAATTACCAAAACTAAAGATACAACTTAAATAAAGTTAGACAATCTCAGTTTTATTAGATAAAAAAAATTAACAAAAATTAATGAACAACTTATTTAATTTTAAGAATAACTAAGTGTCTATTTATTATTATCATTATTAATTAGCTTCAAAATTCAGCATATTTATAAAATAATAATTATTAAAATAAATTTTTAAAATAATTAAAAAGTTGCAAGATATACACCTCAAGTAATGATTAAGTCAAATTTTAGAGTTACAAATTTAAAGTAGTCAATATTACTTTATTGAGCTAATTGAATTGTGGTTAGGACAACCACGGCTTGCAGGGATTTGTGCAATTTTGAAAGCTTTGTTACTATAGTAATCTTCTTCTTAATTTAGTGGCAGCGCAACACGCAGGTGCGCATCGTGTACCTGTTCTACCGCTGGATAACGGCCATCACCTGCCTGGCGGCGCTGGTCTGCTCTTTGCTGGACATCGGGCGCACGGACGAGCACTTCGAGCACCACTATGCCAAGTGGTGGATCTACCTGACCCACTGGGGCCTGCTCTTCTGCACGGTGCAGGCCTGGCTGGCCGCCTGGATAGTCACCCAGGGTATGATGGTGGAGCGCGAGGACTTCGAGATCGTGCGCCAGGCGAAGAAGAGCCGCCTGCACCACCTCTACTGGGTGCTCTACACCTGTGCCACTGTCTATGCGTTCATCGTCACCATGTGCTACTGGCTCTTGGTCCACAATCCCGGTAAGTGAGCCAAACTGGTTCCAAAGAACTCTTCTTCCATTAAGATTCGACCGACAGTTAAATTGAGGTGTGCCAGGAAAAAAGTATTAAGCCCTTTCTAATTTTTTTAAAATGACTTTGCTGAAAAGTGGCCAAAAAGTTGCAGTTATAATTCTATAACTTTTTTATAGACATCCGATTTCGAAAAGGTATATCTCTAAAGTCTCGTGGCTTTATTCTCTAAAAATCTGCATTTAAAAATAGGTTTGTAATTTCGGGTCGATTTCTTGCAATTTTTATGATGTAACCCCTTTCTAAACTTCTGAAAAATGGCTTTGCAGAAGTGGCCAATAAGCTGCAGTAATAATTCTATAACTTTTCTTATAGAAACCCGATTTAGAAGTGGTATATCTTTAAAGTCTTGTGGCTTTAATCTCTAAAAATCTGCATTTAAAACTTGGTTTGTAATTTCGGGTCGATTTTTTTCAATTTTTATGGTGTTACCCCTTTCTAAATTTCCAAAAAAATCGTGTTCGCAGAAAAATGACCAAATCCCTGCACCTCTAAGTCCATAACTTTTCTTTCCGGAATCCGATTTTCAAGCGGTATATCTTTAAAGTCTTGTGACTTAAGCCTCTACAAATCTGCGTTTAAAGTTTGTTTTAATATTGTGAGTTGTTATTTTTAACGATATAAATCCGTTAATTTCCGATAAAATAGCTTTGCAGAAAAGTGACAAAAACACCAGAAGTTTTAATTCTATAACTTTTCTTTTAGGCATCCGATTTCAAAGTGGTATATCTTTAAAGTCTTGTGGCGTTAATCTCTAAAAATCTGCATTTAAAACTTGGTTTGTAATTTCGGGTCGATTTTTTTCAATTTTTATGGTGTTACCCCTTTCTAAATTTCCAAAAAAATCGTGTTCGCAGAAAAAATGACCAAATCCCTGCACCTCTAAGTCCATAACTTTTCTTTCCGGAATCCGATTTCCAAGCGGTATATCTTTAAAGTCTTGTGACTTAAGCCTCTACAAATCTGCGTTTAAAGTTTGTTATAATATTGTGAGTTGTTATTTTTAACGATATAAATCCGTTAATTTCCGATAAAATAGCTTTGCAGAAAAGTGACAAAAACACCAGAAGTTTAAATTCTATAACTTTTCTTTTAGGCATCCGATTTCAAAGTGGTATATCTTTAAAGTCTTGTGGCGTTAATCTCTAAAAATCTGCATTTAAAACTTGGTTTGTAATTTCGGGTCGATTTTTTTCAATTTTTATGGTGTTACCCCTTTCTAAATTTCCAAAAAAATCGTGTTCGCAGAAAAATGACCAAATCCCTGCACCTCTAAGTCCATAACTTTTCTTTCCGGAATCCGATTTCCAAGCGGTATATCTTTAAAGTCTTGTGACTTAAGCCTCTACAAATCTGCGTTAAAAGTTTGTTTTAATATTGTGAGTTGTTATTTTTAACGATATAAATCCGTTAATTTCCGATAAAATAGCTTTGCAGAAAAGTGACAAAAAACCTGCAGTTTTAATTCTATAACTTTTCTTTCAAGCATCCGATTTCAAAGTGGTATATCTTTAAAGTCTTGTGGCTTTAATCTCAAAAAATCTGCATTTAAAACTTGGTTTGTAATTTCGGGTCGATTTTTTTCAATTTTTATGGTGTTACCCCTTTCTAAATTTCCAAAAAAATCGTGTTCGCAGAAAAATTACCAAATCCCTGCACCTCTAAGTCCATAACTTTTCTTTCCGGAATCCGATTTCCAAGCGGTATATCTTTAAAGTCTTGTGACTTAAGCCTCTACAAATCTGCGTTAAAAGTTTGTTTTAATATTGTGAGTTGTTATTTTTAACGATATAAATCCGTTAATTTCCGATAAAATAGCTTTGCAGAAAAGTGACAAAAACACCAGAAGTTTGAATTCTATAACTTTTCTTTTAGGCATCCGATTTCAAAGTGGTATATCTTTAAAGTCTTGTGGCTTTAATCTCTAAAAATCTGCATTTAAAACTTGGTTTGTAATTTCGGGTCGATTTTTTTCAATTTTTATGGTGTTACCCCTTTCTAAATTTCCAAAAAAATCGTGTTCGCCGAAAAATGACCAAATCCCTGCACCTCTAAGTCCATAACTTTTCTTTCCGGAATCCGATTTCCAAGCGGTATATCTTTAAAGTCTTGTGACTTAAGCCTCTACAAATCTGCGTTAAAAGTTTGTTTTAATATTGTGAGTTGTTATTTTTAACGATATAAATCCGTTAATTTCCGATAAAATAGCTTTGCAGAAAAGTGACAAAAAACCTGCAGTTTTAATTCTATAACTTTTCTTTCAAGCATCCGATTTCAAAGTGGTATATCTTTAAAGTCTTGTGGCTTTAATCTCTAAAAATCTGCATTTAAAACTTGGTTTGTAATTTCGGGTCGATTTTTTTCAATTTTTATGGTGTTACCCCTTTCTAAATTTCCAAAAAAATCGTGTTCGCAGAAAAATGACCAAATCCCTGCACCTCTAAGTCCATAACTTTTCTTTCCGGAATCCGATTTCCAAGCGGTATATCTTTAAAGTCTTGTGACTTAAGCCTCTACAAATCTGCGTTAAAAGTTTGTTTTAATATTGTGAGTTGTTATTTTTAACGATATAAATCCGTTAATTTCCGATAAAATAGCTTTGCAGAAAAGTGACAAAAAACCTGCAGTTTTAATTCTATAACTTTTCTTTCAAGCATCCGATTTCAAAGTGGTATATCTTTAAAGTCTTGTGGCTTTAATCTCTAAAAATCTGCATTTAAAACTTGGTTTGTAATTTCGGGTCGATTTTTTTCAATTTTTATGGTGTTACCCCTTTCTAAATTTCCAAAAAAATCGTGTTCGCAGAAAAATGACCAAATCCCTGCACCTCTAAGTCCATAACTTTTCTTTCCGGAATCCGATTTCCAAGCGGTATATCTTTAAAGTCTTGTGACTTAAGCCTCTACAAATCTGCGTTAAAAGTTTGTTTTTATATTGTGAGTTGTTATTTTTAACGATATAAATCCATTAATTTCCCATAAAATAGCTTTGCAGAAAAGTGACAAAAAAAACCTGCAGTTTTAATTCTATAACTTTTCTTTGAAGCATCCGATTTCAAAGTGGTATATCTTTAAAGTCTTGTGGCTTTAATCTCTAAAAATCTGCATTTAAAACTTGGTTTGTAATTTCGGGTCGATTTTTTTCAATTTTTATGGTGTTACCCCTTTCTAAATTTCCAAAAAAATCGTGTTCGCAGAAAAATGACCAAATCCCTGCACCTCTAAGTCCATAACTTTTCTTTCCGGAATCCGATTTCCAAGCGGTATATCTTTAAAGTCTTGTGACTTAAGCCTCTACAAATCTGCGTTAAAAGTTTGTTTTAATATTGTGAGTTGTTATTTTTAACGATATAAATCCGTTAATTTCCGATAAAATAGCTTTGCAGAAAAGTGACAAAAAACCTGCAGTTTTAATTCTATAACTTTTCTTTCAAGCATCCGATTTCAAAGTGGTATATCTTTAAAGTCTTGTGGCTTTAATCTCTAAAAATCTGCATTTAAAACTTGGTTTGTAATTTCGGGTCGATTTTTTTCAATTTTTATGGTGTTACCCCTTTCTAAATTTCCAAAAAAATCGTGTTCGCAGAAAAATGACCAAATCCCTGCACCTCTAAGTCCATAACTTTTCTTTCCGGAATCCGATTTCCAAGCGGTATATCTTTAAAGTCTTGTGACTTAAGCCTCTACAAATCTGCGTTAAAAGTTTGTTTTAATATTGTGAGTTGCTATTTTTAACGATATAAATCCGTTAATTTCCGATAAAATAGCTTTGCAGAAAAGTGACAAAAAACCTGCAGTTTTAATTCTATAACTTTTCTTTCAAGCATCCGATTTCAAAGTGGTATATCTTTAATAATGGCTTTAATGGCTTTAATCTCTAAAAATCTGCATTTAAAACTTGGTTTGTAATTTCGGGTCGATTTTTTTCAATTTTTATGGTGTTACCCCTTTCTAAATTTCCAAAAAAATCGTGTTCGCAGAAAAATGACCAAATCCCTGCACCTCTAAGTCCATAACTTTTCTTTCCGGAATCCGATTTCCAAGCGGTATATCTTTAAAGTCTTGTGACTTAAACCTCTACAAATCTGCGTTTAAAGTTTGTTTTTATATTGTGAGTTGTTATTTTTAACGATATAAATCCATTAATTTCCCATAAAATAGCTTTGCAGAAAAGTGACAAAAAAAACCAGCAGTTTTAATTCTATAACTTTTCTTTGAAGCATCCGATTTCAAAGTGGTATATCTTTAAAGTCTTGTGGCTTTAATCTCTAAAAATCTGCATTTAAAACTTGATTTGTAATTTCGGGTCGATTTTTTTCAATTTTTATGGTGTTACCCCTTTCTAAATTTCCTAAAAAATCGTGTTCGCAGAAAAATGACCAAATCCCTGCACCTCTAAGTCCATAACTTTTCTTTCCGGAATCCGATTTCCAAGCGGTATATCTTTAAAGTCTTGTGACTTAAGCCTCTACAAATCTGCGTTAAAAGTTTGTTTTAATATTGTGAGTTGCTATTTTTAACGATATAAATCCGTTAATTTCCGATAAAATAGCTTTGCAGAAAAGTGACAAAAAACCTGCAGTTTTAATTCTATAACTTTTCTTTCAAGCATCCGATTTCAAAGTGGTATATCTTTAAAGTCTTGTGGCTTTAATCTCTAAAAATCTGCATTTAAAACTTGGTTTGTAATTTCGGGTCGATTTTTTTCAATTTTTATGGTGTTACCCCTTTCTAAATTTCCAAAAAAATCGTGTTCGCAGAAAAATGACCAAATCCCTGCACCTCTAAGTCCATAACTTTTCTTTCCGGAATCCGATTTCCAAGCGGTATATCTTTAAAGTCTTGTGACTTAAGCCTCTACAAATCTGCGTTTAAAGTTTGTTATAATATTGTGAGTTGTTATTTTTAACGATATAAATCCGTTAATTTCCGATAAAATAGCTTTACAGAAAAGTGACAAAAAACCTGCAGTTTTAATTCTATAACTTTTCTTTCAAGCATCCGAGTTTGAAGTGGTATACCTTTAAACTCTTGTGGTTTAGTACTCTAAAAATCTACATCCAAAAATTGGTTTGTAATATGGAGTCGATTTTGAAAAATTTTTTGAAAAACCATTTCAATACATAAGTAAAATCAACCATTACATATATTTATGAAATTTTACAAAAGTTATGCTAAAAAACTATAATGTAAAGCAATGAATTCATTAAGCCAATTGCTAAAAAATAAACACGTGACAATTTAATGAAATATGCACAGCATATAGAAGGACTTACAAAAAACATAAGAACCGAAAGGATCAGCACCAGACCCCCATTGATCACTCAAATCTTGACCTGATAATCCCGGCTAGCCGCCGTGGGCATCCAAAGTTTCCACCGACATGCGGTGGGCAAAAATAACGCCGCTCACGGTGAATGCAAAGTTGATGAACATTTTGGCGGACGCCTCCAAGTACTGGTGGGCCAAGTAGCCAGTGCGCCTGCTGGGCAGGAAGAGCTTCTGGGAGTTGTACATGGCCCAGGGTCCGAAGAAGACCAGGCAAATGCTGGCCGGCACATAGTAGCGCATCTGCAGGCGGCAGCCCAGAGCCACGGAGGAGACCACGAAGACGACCATGCTGGCCAGGATGAGGATCCAGAGGTTGGCGGTGAGGAAGCCGGGCACCCACAGTCCCAGCAGCGTGTACACGACCAGCACTCCGATGCCAATCAGGATGAATGGCCAGGTCAGATCCTGTTCGAGGATGTGCAGGCACACTACCAGCAGCGTGAGGCTCTCGAAGATGCAGCCGAACACTATCCAGTTGAGCGGGAAGGTGAACTGCAGCCGCCGGAAGCCGACGAAGGCCAGCGTCAGGTTGATCCACGAGAGCAGGAACAGCAGCACGGACAGACTGCGATTGGCAGGATTCAGCTGCGGTCGCCAGCGGTACGTGGAGCCCAGCCACTGCAGCGAGGCCAGTGTCACCTGGATGCCCAGCAGCAGGCAGACGTAGCTGCGAAAGAGGCACTGGGATTGCTGCCGCTGCGGCTGGAATATGTTGTACGATGTGCCCGCCTCCACCACCGAATCCTCCACACCCGCTTGACTGGACTCCGTCTCCACGTATCGAGTGTTTTCGGAGAAAGAGGATCCAACGGATCGCAGGCTTAAATTCGGGGCTGATACTGATCTGGTTATGCCTGACATACTGGCTGTCAGGCCGAGCTCTCACCTTTGACACTTAAAAAACAGGCCCCGGAAAACACCGAAAACCAAAAGAAAGAAAGAAAAACACCCACATCGATGGGTGATCAGGAGCCGGGAGATGGCCTCCAGCGCCTTCGTCTCAGGGTGCGTCTGTGGATCTACGGCATCGCCCTGGTGTTCATTGTCCTGGCCATCGGACTGCTCATCCTGCCGGACCTGATCAAGGGATATCCCCTGGTGCCGGACAGCCTGGCCACCTATTGCTTCTTTGGCATTGGCTTGTTCTCCCTGTGTGTCTTTGTGTCCGTGATCTGGCTGCGTCGCAAGTTCCCCATCAATTGGATTATGAGCTGCTCCATTGCCGCCTGTCTGGCTCTGGGAACCGTCTGTGTCCTGTCCGAGCAGCCAGCTGGACATGCTCTGCTCTTGAGCCTAGAAATCCTCATCATGATGGCCCTTCTACTGCTGATTGGCTCCCTGCTGCTGCCCCAGTGTCCCAATGTGGCCTACCTATTCCTCACCTGGTTCATATTCGTGGTGCTGTCCAGTGTTCTCATGGTCGCCGTGGCTGTTCACCTGGAAGATCGCTTACTCGTCTACGAAGTAACCGTTCACTTTGTGCTCTGGCAAGTCGGATTCCCGGTGGCAGTGTTCCAGGCGCAGGTGATCTCCGGCTTTTGGGGCAACTTGCCGCCGCTCCTTGACAAGCCGCTGTGCTCCACCATGCTGCTGCTCGACTTCCTCGCCTGCTACGCCGTTCTGGACTCCGCCCCCGACATTGGATACGAACTCTTTTACGTCAGCCGAGCGTCGAACCAAAAGTTTATGGCCAGAGTCATTGAAAGGCAAATGTGAGAAGGAGCAGGGACTTTTTAAATTGGAGAGCTCTGCAACAGCCTGCCCAGAAGGGAAAATATCTTACACATATAAATTTATGGAAACTACGAACCGCTATATAAAGTTACAAAGATATATTGAACTGTCTAATCTTTAGAATAGAAGACAACCTTTGTATTTTACTCAATTTTATACAAAATTTGTAGTTTTCAGTTTAAATTGAATGAGATTGTCTTCTTAAAAAAAATGTAAAAATAAAAAGCTAGCCATAGAAATCAGTTTTCAGAACTATATTTTTAAAACAATCTAAATCTTTAAAAAAAAATAAGCGTACACTGACAAAAAAATATATTTAATATTTATTAAGTAAAATAAATATTGAATCATAATATTAAATACAATGTATATTAGTTTCTATTTAAATGTGGTTTAAATTTAACTTACATTTTTAGATATTTAAATCCATTCCGATCTTACACATTTTTAATATTTACATTTTTAAAATAACTAAAAACCGCAAAGGATGAAAATCAAAGCGAAAAATATTTAAATTAAGCCGAAAACATTTGGATTTACTAGGTTTATTTTTACCAGCGTATTTGTTTATATGAAAATATATACTAAACAAATTATAAACAATTAAATATTACTACGGTCTAACAAAACTTTTACTCTTTCAGAGATTCACAAGATTGATGCGCTAAACATAATGGTGCATGTGCTCAACACGATTATAATGCTGATCGATTTGGCCATTGTGGGGCACCCGATAAAGATGAGCCACGCCTACTTCACCACCGGCATCGGCCTGGCCTATGCCATATTCACGGGCATCTACTTCTTGGCCGGCGGCACAGACAGGTGAGTTTTGCCAGGTGGCTAGGGAGGATTGGACATGGCTTACAATAAGTAATATTCTCTTATAGGAAAAACCAAACTGCCATCTATCCGATGATGGACTGGACCAAGCCGGGCAAGGCGATCATTGTGACGGCCTGTGCGATCATCTTCACGTTTTTTGTGCACTTCTGCTGCTACCTCTTGTACCGCGGCAGGGTGTGGCTCTTCACCAAGCTCTGCATCCGCGGGCGTCACAATCGCGATGGGGAAATGGGCGAGGGTCTCAACGATGACTCTGGATCCCGCATGGGCGGCGCAAGCGGTGGAGGAGGAGGAGGAGGAGGAATCGGAGGCGGAGGAGTATCCGCCAGTGGCGGAGGAGCAGCTGGTGGCCTGATGGCTGCCGCTGGCGATGTGGGCAGCAGCCAGGACTACGCCCACCAGCAGCAGTATCCCATTGCCCACACGGAGCAGCCGAGGGCGGGCAGCCATAGCCACCACCACCAACAGCAGCAGCAGCAGCAGCAGCCGCCGGGCAGCTACCAGCTGCCGCCGCAGTACTCCGGATATCTGCAGCAGCCGGTGGTGGCCGGGGTCAATGTGGGCGTGATCAGTGCCGAGGGCGTGTACCAGCCCATTGGCACGGACACTGGACGCACCAGTGGCGGCGGTCCGGAGGGCAAGCACAAGTCATCCGGCTCGGGATCGGCAACTGGTGGAGCTGGTTCCGGATCTGGAGCAGGAGCAGGAGCAGGATCTGGTGCGGGATCTGGTGCTGGATCGGGCTCGGCCTTGACGCGCACCGTGGCCCACCTGGAGGCGTCGCAGCGGGAGCAGTTCCTCAACCCCAACAAGATTGTCGAGTACAAGATGTAAAGGCGTTGCACCCGGCACCGGTATACGTTCCACTTGTCCATGAAGTTTCTGGAGAAGCACTGTGCCCAGTGCGAGCAGCAGCGCCACTTGGCCTGAGTATCGAGCACTGAGCACAGTGGTTAGTTCTTAGAGTATTGCTTTCGAAAGACGTCTAGTTTTCGAATACCTGCCAGGCCAAATCGATTGATCGGATCGGATCGATTGATCGGCTCAAATCAGTATTGCACTTGGTATTTGCTTTTTTTTTTGGCAAAGTAGTTTGTAACCGTAGTAGTTTCGTAATTTTGTAAAAGCTTTGCCAATTTTTTGAATGTGTGTAGACGCTTTTCAAATGTAGCACCGCAAAGGTATAGAAATATTATAGAGATGTTCCTTTAAGCGAGCGATTACCGCTGAGTGTTTTCTGAACTTTTTCGTTATTTTTGTGGGGTAATCCATTCGGCAAGTCGTTCCACAGCAATTTAAAACATTTTAATGGACTAAGTTGAACATGATATTTGTATTTAACAACTCACAGTATTTTATTTGAAGCTCAGTTTTAGTTATTGTCTTGATAAAACAATTGTGTTCACAAGAATGTACACACTTTTCAACAGTTACTTTCGGCCCAAAACCAAACAACAGCTAGAGAAAACAGAAAACAACATGACATACTGCCTACAATGATTTAAGTTAAGAACTTTTTTACATAGCTAATTTAACCATTTATCCACAAAAATTTTATATATCGGTGCAGGTGTAAGGCCAGCTCATGCCTCAAAGTCCGGAGTAAAATTATAAATGATTGATTTTTGAGCATGGAGCAATGGCAAATAAAATTGGCAGTTTTTTAATGGAGCGAAACGGCGCCGAAAAAAAAGAAGTAGAGCAAAGAACATTAATTTTAGGATATGCTTGGCATTGGTTTGCTTAGTAATTAGTGAATTGATAACATAAAATACGTTTCTTTATATGAATATTTTCCCAGCTAGCTCAATCGCTGCTAGAACACCCTAATAAACATTATTCTACAAGGCACGACGTAAAGTATTACGAATAACAATATCAGAAATAAATATTTTAGCATACAATGTTGAAAAGTATGTTGCAAAAAGTTTTACTTTCGACTCGAAACAAAATAAACAGCCTACAAAAACTCTGAAGTTTTGCTTTTGTAGGTTTCTGCGAGTATGTGGTTCACATACTGCGATCAGTGATTAGATTTATAACCAAACGGAAACCTATATGTGTATACGGGTTTATGTATTATTATGTGTAATGTAAATAGTTGACTTCGTTTATGTTGATCGATTTCTATCTATATTCAAATGCATAGACATAATTAAGGAATCTGTGGCAGAAAACTACAGATCACGTGAAAAGGTATAGCCAACTTGAGTAAAAATTCAGAAACAGCAATGAAAGATAAAACTAAAAACCAAATGCATTGAATAAAACTCGTCAAGAGGAATGTGTTAACAAGCAAAAGCAAAAGCAAAATATAACAAAATATTTAACTAAATATACAGAAACAAATGCAAAGCAAATAGCATGCGCTAACTATACTTACATAATACAGTATACATGTAAAGCATAGCAAGGTAAAGTAACCAAGCATTAATTTTTGATAGATTTACATAAATTAAACACCTCCTCCTTTATGAAACAGATCATCCGCAGGTCTTCGAGTATTCTTATTTCCACATTATTTGAATCCAATTTCTTTTTAGAGAAATTTTACCAGTTTTGGTTGAGGAACTGAATTTGTGCATCAGTTTTGTGTCAGTTTCGCACGTTTCTCCCGTTTTGTTTTCCAAAAATTTAGTATAAATGTATAAATGAATGTTTATATAGACTGAATATTATTAACACGAAGAAAAATCGAAAACAAAATAAAACCGAAAATAACACATTAAAGAACGCGGTTAAAGTTCAACCTTTTCGGAACTGTAAAAATATAAATCAAAAAGAAAAACCATCATATTAGCCACAACATAAAACAGTAAACACATATCAACAATTAGACAAGATCATTATTAAAATAAAGATATTCAAATAGATCAAAACCGAAAGTTTCAAATAAAACAAATCAAAGTTGACCTCATCAAGAACCACACATAAGAACAAAGTATGAAATTAAAACTTGCATTAAAAGATATGTATAAATGTTAAACAATCATTATAAAGTACGTATATGCAGAATATATTTAGCAGAGAAAAAGAATTCAAATATTATATTTTGTAGATTTTTAGTAAATTAGAAGTGAACGATTACGAAACCCGATGTCAACACACATGCATATGTCTACAAAAAATATTTATCCCAAATATATACATCGCCCATACCCCTACAAAGTAGCTCAGCTCTCTGTAACCAAGTTGAGAATTAGTGTTGAAATTGTTGATTGAACAAATGAGGAAATGGAAAAGCTTTAAGAAACCCAAATGGATGGAACTTTTATACACCGACATAAAAGTTGAGGAATATTGCTCGAATGAGTTCTTAGCACGCAGTTGGCTCAACAGAAAGAATATAGATGGCTCAACAGAATTCAGTATTAGCAAAGGCAAATTAAAGCGAGTATACAATGGAAATCAAAATGTTATTAACAAAGCACACCAAAAGTAAAACCTTAAAAAACTGCATGTGTTGATGAAGAAATAAAATTTCAATGTTGAGAAATTTGAACAAATAAAAATAACAAGCAAATTGTTTACTTCAAAAGTATTTCTGCGCATTTAAGCAAAATCGAAAAACAATGCTTCATCATTTCAAACTATAATGAGTCGAAGTTTTGCTAAGCAATTAAAAAACAAAGTAACGAAACCAGATTTCAATAAACAACAAACAAAACCAAGTAAGAAACGAAAATACAAAATAATAAATTGTTAGAAAAACCATGAAAGTGTAAACGCTAATGGATGTCATGCATTTTAAAAGCATAGCAAAAGCTAAACTATTATATTACCAATAAAAAAAGACAACACAAAATTCATTAACTTACGTACGCAAGTATGTTTGTATGTGCGTACATGCATAATATAATATATTATTAAAATTATTATGTATTTCAAGCAAAGAATTGTGAATTAGTAATAAACAGAAACAAAATGTCAAGCAAAATGGTAAATAAAAAATGTACAATACAAAAATGATCATCGTTAAGTGGTTTAACCTAAATTTTTAACCTTTTTAATTTTTTTTTAGAGATTTGCAACTAGAAAACTTTTTGTCAAAAAATTTGATCTTACCTAGATTCAATTTATTTTCCCGCATAAAAAATCACAGTTTTTTTTTACATTACTTTATATATGTTAATTTATTTATATTTTTTATTTCACAATTCAATGCGATTTCTAAATCCTTATACAAAATCTATTTTTTCTTTTCCATCTTTTTTATACCATTGTAATTGATTTATTTTTTAGTCATAGATACATTTATTATTAATTTATTTTATCATTAAATAATTAGTAACATAATTTGGTTTTCTGCGACTTAAATATTAATCAAATACATTCAGGTATACAAAACTGAAATATATTGAAACAGTTACGCCTCGAGTTTACAAATAAGAATCGGTTTCATTTAAATTACAATAATCGAATCACTTTGTCTCTTTTTTTTGTGTAATTTTACAAATTAAGCAAAAAATATCATCAAGCTAAAGTGTAGTGTCGAGGATGGGGAGTTTAACCTGATATCACGTATATTTGGGGTAAGTGCGGGTATTGGCAAAACGAGGGACAGTTGTGGGATGGCTGCTCAGTTAAAAAAAAAAACAACGCATCAAGTGCTTAATAATAAAGGAAGTTTAAATTGTGAACAGAACGCATTGAAAACTATAATGTCTGAAGGAATTAATTTGTTAATTTTCTGCAAAGCCACCATCTAAGAGAGCTTCAAGTACGAGGGCGGCGAACATTTTTTACGCAAGAACTTGATTATGTACAATGGTAAGCAGGAGACCAGGGTGATGAGGGAAACCTTCCATAGAAAATCGTACGACCAAATAAATTCCCAGTCTACAAAGAACAGAGTTCAAATTATATAAAATTCGTCTTAAATTATTGAGTTTAAAGCGAACTTACCGAAATACTCATGTAACACGGCCAACGAAATGAGATAGAGCGCTAAACTGAATAGTTCCGCAAGCACCATTAACCTGCAAAGATATTTAATTGTAAAGGTAATAAGATAAGCAAAACAACCGATGTTTTAAAAAGGCATTTTTAAGTGAACATCGATATAAAGTTTAAAGTAGAAAAAGTGCCCAAGACTTACCTATGCCAAGTGCGCACAGTGAGAGCCACCATTATAAGCTCAGTCATGATCAAAGCCGAGAAACTGATCGCCACAATGTGGATAAACTCGTCCACAAAGAGGATCAAAGCTCCGTACATAATGACGCCACCTTGGTATATGCTGATCAGTACCCATATAAAGAAGGTCTTGTAACTGAGACTGCGTCCTTTCGACAGATCCTTGTAAAGCTCCGGGTACGTGACGGCCGTCTCGGATGTGATGTCCTGGTCAAGCACCAATGAGAACACCGGGAACATGGTGTACAGTGTCGAATATCCGACCATGAGAAAGCCCTGGTACAAGGCCACCGAGCTGAGGTAGAAAACCGCCGAGAAGACCGCCTGCAAGGTGGTTATGATGAGACCGCGGTGAATGACGAACTGTGAGAGGGCCGCCGAACGTTTGTAGCTGCGCCGGCCGTGGATGAGCAGCAACTTGGCGATGTGCGAGAACTGCGGAATGCTAAAGTCGCCGGCCAGCGAGGCCTGTCTTCCCTCGCGTCCCTCAATTCCAACTCCGGCGTCCGCCTGCTGAATCATGCTGACATCGTTGCCACCATCTCCCACGGCGCAGGTTCGCTTGCCTGTGTGCTTCTGGATGAGGGCCACCACCTGGGCCTTCTGCGTGGGCGAGCAGCGGCAGCAGACGACGGCCGGCGAGGCCGTGGCCAGCTCCAGGAACTCTGGTCTGTAATACTGCAGGCAGACCTCCAGGG